CGGTTCTGGCACGTGCACTCGGACTGCAGCAGCGACAGATGCATGCGCCGCTTGGCCGCAATGCAGAACGCGTGGTCGGCGAGGGGCGAAACCCCCTCGAAGTCATCCAACCAGGCGCCCGCTGAGCTGCCCGAGGCACTATGCACCGCCGCCGCCGCCGTCGCCGGCAGCGCGGCCAAGAACGCCTTGGTGGCGTGGTCCCGCACGTGCTGGGTGTGCGTCTTCTGGCCCTTGCCCCTCCGCCCTTCCAGAAGGCCCTGCCAACGGTCACTTCGGGGGCGACGGCCTCCTGCCAGCCGCCCCTGCTCCTCGTCCGCTGCCGAGAGGGCACGGCCGAGGCCCGGCCACCGCCGAAAGAAGCCGATCGTTGTCGTCTCTCGGAGCTCCTGGGCAGCCGCGTGGATGCCGGCTTCCCAGGGCGCCGGGGGGGCAGCGGGGCCGCGCTGTTCGGCGCTGCCACAGCCCAGACCTCCGTCGCTGACCTTCATGAAGATCTGCTCCCGGGGGGCAGCCGTGACCCCCAGAAGGGCGTTGACGAAGGCGACCGCTCCGTCATCCACCCTGCGGCCCCACGCCGCCGTGAGCGGGGGCGCCCGCTGGATGTGGACGCAGGCGCCCCTCGACCAGATCCGCATCAACTGGAAGGCGTCAAAGGCCGACAGCCCACGCGTGCGGAGCGCCAGGAGCTCTCGGAAGTAGCGGTCCTGCTTCTGGAGGAAGGCCTCGCCGCAGGGGAGTGGCGCGGCGGCTCCCGGGGCGGCCCCGGCACCGCCAGCCGGCGCGAGGCCACCTTCGTCGAGGTCCTCCGGGACGGCAAAGTCCGCGAGCGGGACGCCCCTCCAGTCGGCGTCCACGTCGTGGTTTGTGTAGGCCAGGGTGGACCCCACCGCCTTGAGCTTCCGGACGCGGTACTGGACGTACTCCGCAAACTCCGGCAGCAGGACGGCGTGGGGATCTGGGGACCAGATCTGGGTCTTGGACATCTTCAGCTTCATCCCGTGGGCTTCGATGCGGGCTCGCCAGGCATCCAAGCCGCGGAACACAGCGGCCGCGGTGCCCACGAAGTACGTATCGTCCAAGAACGCCAGGCAATCCCCCTCGACGTCCACCGCACGCACGGCCATGCGACCGATGCTGAGCACATCCGCGGTGCCGACCGCGTAAAAGCATGGACTCATCGGGCAGCCCTGGTCGAGGCCGCGGATCTGGTCGACCAGCTGGGCAGGTTGGGACCCACCCCCCGCCGCGTGGCGTGTGCGAGCAGGGGGCCAGGCCTCCGCCAGCGGCGCCAGAGCGGGCACCTTGGAGCGCACGGCCTCCTTCACGAGGTCGCGGGGGATGTTGCGGAACGCATCCCCGAGGTCCAACGCCACCACCCACTTGCCTGGGCTCGAGTTGGCCATCGCGCAGAGACGTCGGTGGAGGGCACCGCATCCGTCCTTGGCCAGGCCAAACTGTTGGTCCCCCACCGCCGCCCGCATGTCCTTGTGGTGGACCTTGGCAGCGCTGCGGCCCACCATGCGGCGGGTGACATTCCCACGGCCCAGGACTCGCACGTCCCCAGGGGTTGCCTTGGGGATGCCTGCGAGGCGCGCCGCCGTCAGGGCGGCTAGAGCCTCGGGAGGAAGGTCGCCGATGGCCAGGCGCGCCAGCGTGTTGGCCACCGCCTCCGCCCCGTCCTCGTCGTGCTCGAGCGGGGCCCAGTGCTCGTAGCGTCCCCCTCCAGGCCCCGCCCCGCCGCGGCGGGGGAAGCGGCCATACTGACGCTTGAGGTGGTTGGCCACGCGGTGGTGGAGCTCTGCCGCACCGTTGAGCTCGTGAGGGGGCGTGGCTGGCGGCATCGCCACATCGGCCCCCGCCGCCGTGGGTCCCCCCCTCTGGCCCATGCGGGGCGGCCCCAGTGCCAGGGGGAGGGCCCTACGCGCCTGGGCGAGGCGCCGCAGGATGCTGGCCGGTGCTGAACTTCCTCACCACCGCCGCTGCATCCGCCATGTCACCCTGGGGCCACACTGCCGCTGCCGCCCGAGACATCTCGCCAGCTCGTGCAAGCTCGGTGACACGGCGAACGCGGACCGCGACGTGGTCCTCGCGGCCCTTCGCGGTGACCGACGCGCGCGTCTGGTCATCCATGGAGAGCCAGGCGACATCCCATTGGCCGTCCCGAATCCACTGCAAACGCTCCTGGAGACGCTCTCGCCGCGTCGTCGGGGTCGGGGTGGCATTTTCACTGAACAGCAGCCCATCCAACGATAAGAACACCTTCCACAGCCGCGTCAGCGTGCGCGACGCCTGATCATCGTCGCCCTGGCGGGCCTGCTCGATCGCTAGGCACAGCCGTACCTTCACGTGGCTAACGGCGGCAGCCATGCTGTCGGGGATCATGGCCGTGGTGGGGGCGCCCTGTAGCAGGGCGCGGCCCCGCCCGATGGCACCCCGCCAATCCAGATTGACAAAGCCAATCTCGTGGCACGCGTCCTCGTCCGTCACCTGATCGTCCAGGTAGTCGTCGTAGACGCCTACTTCAAGCCCCCCGTCATCGTCCGCGTCCGCAGGGGCGTCGAGTGGCGGCTGCAAGATGTCCGCCGTGGACGGCGCCGCTGCCTCGGCTGCCACAAGGGGGGTCCCTCGTGAGCCTGGGCCACGCGCCCCTGGCGCGGCGGCGGCAGGGAGCCTCGGGGCGGCCCCAGTGCTCCCTGCCGCGCCATCTCCCTGGGAGGGAGGAGTGGGTGCCTGGCCTTCAACCGTTTCCAGCAGGGCAAAATGGGGCCACCTCGGGCCTCCAGGGCTGCCGCGAGGCGTTCCCTGTCACCCTCGGGGAGCTGCGTGAGGCCCACCATCGCCGTCGCTGGTGGTAGGGGGCCATCCACGCAAGCCATGCGGAACCACTTCTTGCCCGCGTGAGCCTGGGAGCCCACGGGACGCGCCACGGCGCCTGCCACGCGCCATTCGCCCGCCTCGAAGCCTCCCATGCAGCGGGTGCAGTGGGCCTTCTTGCCGCGAGTCGCCTGGGCGCTGACGCACCAGCGAGTGATCCGTCCTCCCGTCATGCGACGCCGCCCCTGTGCCGGCTGGCCCTCGCTGTCCCGCATGTGGACGTCGATGCTGCCGTCCACTGGATTGTCTACAACGTTTGCGTCGGCCGATGCGCGTGCAGCAACGGAGGCGCACGGGGCGGCCCCGGCACCTCCGCTGCCTACTCCGCTGCCTACTGCGGGCCGCCGCGACGTTACTTTCAGCCACTCGAGCCCCTGCACCTGCGTCCGCGGCGCCGCCAGCGGCCGCCGCCATCCCAGGACGTCCCTTCAGGGCAAGGAAGAGTGCGCGTAACGGTGAGGGCGCGAGAAAAGGAAGGGTGGCTGCCACCCACGGTTTGAGGGCAGCAGTAGCCCCCCCGCCCACAGGCTCCCCAGAGCCTTGGGGGGACTGCTACTACTACTACTACTACTACTACTACTACTACTACTACTACTACTACTACTACTACTACTACTACTACTACTACTACTACTACTACTACAACTACTAATACTACTACTACTACTACTACTACAACTACTACTACTACTACTACTACTACTACTACTACTACTACTGCTACGACTACTACTACTTACCCGTTCACTACTACTTCTACTACTGCTGCTAAGACGACTACTTGTACTGCTACTGCTACTACTCCTGCTACTGCTATTGTTACTACTACTACTGCTACTACTACTACTACTACTACTACTACTACCAGCACTACTACTACTACTACTACTACTACTACTACTACTACTACTACTACTGCTACTACTACTACGACGACGACGACGACGACGACGACTACTACTACTACGACGTCTACAACAACAACAACTACTACTACTACTACTACTACTACCACTACCACGACTTATGCTGGTACAACTACGACAACAGACCCGGAACATCTACAACATGTATCACGAAGAATTGGTTGACCAGGTAGCCGAGGCTAGAAGGGTGCGAGATCTCGGGCGAGTCCTGAAGGGATCGGATGTACGTATGACAAATTGAGGTGCGACTGGATGTTGACGATCCCTGATAGGGTCTCACCTGGACAGTCGGCTTTTCTGCCAAAATCAGAACCATCATAATCCCATCAGGATCCGGAAGTCCACCCGGAGAACCAACCATTTTTCCAAATAGTCAGCCATTTCCCAAGAGAACAACCGCCTCGCCTAAGCCCCCCCTCTCGGGAAGCGCCCGGGCGCGTGTACCACACCCTCTACCCGAGACCTCACCCCTGGCAAATACGGCAGATTCGCGCTCCCGTGGTCTAGATGCCTCTAAAACGGCTCAGGATCGCTCCAAGGCAGGCCACGTTGGCATCAAGACGGCCCAATATGGCTTCAAGACGGCCCGCGAGGCCGTCGAGGCGTCCCATGAGAGCCCCAAGAACCGTCTCAAGAGGGCCTTGAGAGGCGACAACCATTGATTGTCTGCAGCTTGTTCAATGTTGTTCAGGTTCTCGCCTGCTCGAGCATCCGACGTCCCCTGACGGCCCAAGAGACAACCAGAGCTGTCACTAGACGGCACAAGAGGCCAAAAAGAGTCCCGAGACAGCCTCAGAGGGCTCCAAGACGACCAAAGAGGCGCCCAAGAACGCCCAAGGGGGCCCCAAGACGGCCTGCAAAAATGGCCCAAGAGGGTCAACACGAACCGACAATTCGAGCCTTCCGCCTCAGGAGGGCTTAGGAGGCCCCAGGAGGACCAAAAGAGGCCGCCAAGATGGCGCCGAGGGGCAAAAGCCAATGATTTTGTTTCGAGTTCTCGCCGTTACGAGCCTCCGACGCTCCAAGACGGTCCAGGATGCCTTCAAGACTTCCCCGAGTCAACCCAAGAGGCCAAAAGAGAGCGCCAAGAAGGCTCTAAGAAGGCCCAAGAGGCGCCCAAGACTGCCCAAGAGGGCCCCAAGACGGCCCCAAGAAGGGCCCATGAGTGAGAACAAGAGCTAAGAAGTCGCGCCTTCTGTCCCAAGAGCCCCCAGCAGGCAAGTAGCTGCCACCCAGAATGCTGCGCTGGCACGGGGGCGGAATTGCTGGAGGTAGCTGGAGACTTGCTGAGAGGAACACTAGCCAGGGGGTCGTGTTCCCAAAGGAGCTCAACCACGGGAGAGACATGTGTTGAGACAGGCACGGCCCTGAGCACGGCAACTTCAAGGAATCGAGCTTACCTGTTTCTGCTCCTCACAAGGCTGACCCTCATTAGCAAGCGAACGACCCAAGGGCTTACCTGGACGAGCTGCAGCAGGCAGTTCACGAGCAGCCACCAGCGCAGGGGTCGCTCGCACAGGGCCCAAGAGGACCTCGGCATGTGACCCGCAAGCCCGTTGACGTTCCTCGTCCTCCTCCTCCTTCTCAACATAATCAGCATCATCATCATCATCATCAGCAGCAGCAGCATCAGCATCAGCATCATCATCATCAACAACAACATCGTCATCATAATCATCATAATCTTCATCATCATCAGCATCATCAGCAGCATCATCATCGCCAGCATCATACGCATCATCATCAGCAGCATCACCAGCCTCACCATCATAATCATCATAATCATCATAGTTATCAGCGTCATCATCCTCACCAGCCTTATCCTGATCATCGTCGTCGTCGTCAGCGTCATCGTCGTCATCATCAGCATCACCATCATCATCGTCCTCATCCTCATTGCATCATCCTCTGTATCCTCATCCTCATCATCACCATCGCCGTCATAAAGTATCATCGCCAGCATCATCAACAGCATAATCCTCCTCCGCATCATCATCATCATGTTCATCGACATCAGCAGTATCATCATCATCATCAGTATCATCATCGTCATCATATGTTGCCCCCGCTGCCTCCTCCTGATGTGCCATCTCCTCCTCCCCCTACTCCCTCTCACATGCTCATCGTCTGCAGAAGCGTCGTCCATCATCGTCGTAGTCCTCCTATTCTTCATCGTCATCCGGTTGAGCATCATCAGACTCAGCACCATAGCCGATATCATACACATCATCAACAGCAACAATCGCATAATGAACATCCACGTCGTCGTCCCATCATCATCATCATCATCATCATCATCATCATCATCATCATCAGCACCAGCATCACCATCCTCATCATCTTCACCATCAGTATCACCCCCACCATCAGCACCATTATCATCGTCATCGTCATCAGTATCGCCCACATCGCCCCCCTCCCCCTCCTCATCATCAGCATGTTCATCATCAGCATCATCAGCATCACCAACATCATCTACCTCAGCATGATCAGCAGCAGTATCAAGATCGTCGTCTTCGTCGACGCCATCATCAACCTGCGCCTCGTAACCACCATCATCAACATCAGCATCGTTATCATCAATAGCACCGTCGTCATCACCATGATCAACCTCCTCATCGACGTCACCATCATCATCATCATCATCACCAACATCATCGACATCATCAATCCCGATAACATCATCATCATCCGCGACAACACCGTCATCATCGTCACGAGCGTCAACCTAAATGCCATGTTCTTCCTCACGGCTATCGCCATCGCCACCATTATCAAGGTAACAATCATCGCAATCAACACGATCACAATCACCAAACCACTCATCAACGTCATCATGATATTCAGCTGCATCAACAACAACATCATCAACATCATCGGCATCATCATCAATACAATTCGTATTGTCATCAACATCCGTGTCGTGATCGCGATCATTATCGCCATCAACACATCCATCCGTACTAAGCATCGCCAATGTCAACATACTCATAACCGTCGGTGACCTCGCCGTCCTCGTCATCAGGAACATCGTCATCATCATAATCACCATCAGCATCATCATCAGCATCATCAATCTGATCACCAGCATCATCAACATCAGCATCTTCATTGTTGGCAGCATCGTCAACATCGTCGTCAGCATCGTCATCGCCGTCGTCGTCAACATCACCATCACCATCACCATCGCAGCCACCATCATAACAACAAACATAATCGGTACCACCATCACCACAATACCATCGTCGACATCATCAACACCATGACCACCACCATCAGCAACATCATATCACCATCATCATCAACATCAACATCAACAGCACCATCAAAATTATCAGTATCATCCCGCTCCCCTGTTCCTCTGCCTCCTCATCATCATACAACACATCTGCCTATTCCGCCCCCCCCCACATACACACACATCCCCCAACTTCCTGCGCAATCGCACAATCACCCTCAGTATCTTCCCCATCGTCAATCTCCCGTTTGCCCAGGCTATGACTGGCCCATTAAATGGTGCCCAGGTAAGCCAACGTCGGCTCCAACTCGGAGCTTGCGGGACGCAATTGCGGTATTGCGAAGCATACGTGCAACATGGCGACGTACGAAGCTTAGCCTGCGCGGGCCCACCATACTCTACGCGAGGTACGCATGCATACTATACTCGTCCATGTTCTCCGTTGCACTTCTCTACCCGAGTAGGGTCGACTTGGCTCGTCCAAAACGGCGAACAAATCCATTCGAGAGGGCCCAAAGAGGGCCTAAGGGAGTCCCAAACATGGGATCTCATAGGGAGGGAGGGGTGGGCAGGACCCCCCCCGCCTCTCCACAAGATGGCCTCCACGACCTCGAACGTGCCCCTGGGAGACCCCCAAGAAGTCCCCAGAAGGGCCAAATCAAAAACCCACGAAACGTCAAACTGTCCTAATGAAACCGCCCCCGACGCATTCAAGAGGCCCCGAAGAAGGCTCGCAACAAAGCGGAGGGAGGCGAAACCGGAACAGCAACGACTACATACGGGCAGCACGGCGGAAACCAACACACCACCCACACGAACTGGCAAACCGCACGCGTGCTCGCCTGGGGTCAGGGAAAGCCGCTTGAAAACTCTACTACACGAAGCTTAACTCTTCTCGTCTCCCCCCTGACCGGATGTGGCATACTCACACACATATGTATATATACATATTGATGCATATCTATATATGTATATATATATATAGTGGAATCGGCTCCACATGACCATACTGTACCCGACCCTACCCTTACCCTACTGCTACATGTCCGGCTCTGCTATCCTCTGCGCTACTCTCATCTAGGCTAGTCTGCCCCACTGTACTGCGGAAAACGGACACGGCGGTGGATGAATGTCTAGACCACATACATTCGCGGGACCCACAACTGAAGCAAGGCTAGAACAGCGCGTCGCGGTGTATTGCCTACACGTCACCATCCTCCTCCTCCAACTTCCCCTCTCTGAAGTCGCCCAACGACAGTTGCGTCTGAACAAGTGGGGCTTGAGAACACGCAACGGGGGCAGATGGAAGGGGGGGGAGTCGCACAGGGAACTGCACGACCCTGCCTCATGTTTGGCAAGAATAGATTCCACGGGATGTCCTGTGAAAGTATGCGGGGAAGGGGGGGGGCACTGCGCCGAACTCAGCAGGGGCTCATAAATCAGTGACATTCCAGCGTCTGGCAAGCCTCAGGACATCCTGGGACGCGTACGGCAGCACTCCACTGGCTGGGCCCCAAGGACATGGCGAAACTAGCGACGCTTGCGCACGCGACTGCACGCCAGGGAGCGAGAACTCGGTCGTGCCCGCGCGGGACCGCACTCCGCTGGACTCCTCAGGAATGCAAGAAAGTGGCCACGAGTGTACGCCTGTCTGGCATCACTTGGGGCAGGCGTGGTACAGCTTTCGCCTGCGCGGGACCGCGCTCCTCAGCAGCGTAAGAAAGATGCGACCGCTGTTCGTACTGCAGCACCCACTGGGGCGAGAGTAACCATTGCATCTGCGTCTGGGAGCCTACGCGCACGAGAGTGCAGGGAAGAAATGCAATGGGAAGCTACAGGCTACAGACCAGAAGGCGAGGCGAGGCGAACGGCATGCGGAGAATCCGCGCCCGTGGAGGGCTGCCGGTACACCGCCCATTTCTCACACGCGCTTCTCTCAGGAAGTGACAGAACAAAAGGTATACAAATGTATCGCCACAAGCAGACAACAATTATCCCGGCAAAGCAACCTAACAGCGATGTGTAGGAGCATATCTGGAAGCATTCCCCTTACGATTCAGATGAGAATCCTGTTGTAGAATTCTGCTGTTCTCGCATTCGCGCATTCGCGATGGCAGTCGCAGTGGCAACGGCAGTCGCAGTCACAGCCTCAGCCTGCCTCGGCCTCAGCCTCAGCCTGCCTCAGCCTCAGCCTGCCTCAGCCTCAGCCGCAGCCTGCTTCAGCCTCAACATCAGTCTGCCTTCAGCCTCGGCCTCAGCCTCAGCCTGCCTCAGCCTCCCTGCATCAGCCTCAGCCTCAGCCTCAGCCTGCCTCAGCCTGCCTCAGCCTCAGCCTCAGCCTGCCTCAGCCTCAGCCTCAGCCTGCCTCAGCCTCAGCCTCAGCTCAGCCTCGGCCTCAGCCTCAGCCTGCATCAGCTCAGCCTCAGCCTCAGCCTGCCTCAGCATCAGCCCTCAGCCTCAGCCTCAGCCTCATCAGCCTCCTCATTCAGCAAAATGTGGCCCGGGAATGGAGTTCTGGGAACTCAAGACCACGAAGTGGCCTACAGTTGGCTCCGGGCATTCAAAATGTGGCCCGGGAATGGAGTTCTGGGAACTCGAAGAGCACGAAGTGGCCTACAGTTGGCTCCGGGCATCCAAAATGTGGCCCGGGAATGGAGTTCTGGGAAGTCGAAGAGCACGAAGTGGCCTACAGTTGGCTCCGGGCATCCAAAATGTGGCCCGGGAATGGAGTTCTGGGAAGTCGAAGAGCACGAAGTGGCCTACAGTTGGTTCCAGGCATCCAAAATGTGGCCCGGGAATGGCGTTCTGGGAGCGCCAAGAGCGATTTTGCGAGGATGTCCGAAGCGATTTGGGCTTCGGCGGCAGCCGCCCCGGGTGCCGCCCCGACCCCCCTGAGGAGTCATGATGCTTTCTTTTGACCCCACTCGAAACCTATCAGTCTTCGCTGTTAGGTAAAAAACTATCCCGGTAAAGCAACCTAACAGCGATATGTAGAAGCATATCTGAAAGCATTCCCCTTAAGATTCAGATGAAAATCCAGTTGTAGAATTCTGCTGTTCTCGCAGTCGTAGTCGCATTCGCGATGACAGTCGCAGCGGCAACGGCAGTCGCAGTCACAGCCTCAGCCTCAGCCTGCCTCAGCCTCAGCCTCAGCCTGCCTCAGCCTCAGCCTGCCTCAGCCTCAGCCTCAGCCTGCTTCAGCCTCAGCCTCAGTCTGCCTTCAGCCTCGGCCTCAGCCTCAGCCTGCTCAGCCTCAGCCTCAGCCTCAGCCTGCCTCAGCATCAGCCTGCTTCA